AGGGTATTCAAAACCCTGGGAGTGAACAGCAAAGTCTAACAATGCCAAAGGCTGAGAAGCAGTCTTAGAACACCCATTATGGGAAGATACAGGGGGCAGTAGGCCAGCTTCAGGCACAAGCCTAATCAAGATGTATGGAGCACGACCAAGGCAGACTGAGTGAGGTAAAAATATTCCCAACTCATTAACATCTAAGAGTTTTGTCTGTAAGGAAGAATGCTTGCTTCTCCTTGATTCCAACAGGAGCAAGAGATGAACATGTGTGTTTGGAATGTGATACAGAAGCTGGAATGTCTTGACCCAGTATACCCAATTTCATCCAAGTAAATAATTGTAAGCTGAAAGAGTGTGTGCTACAAGTAGTGCCTAGGACAAAAATGGCTGAGTTCTAAACTTTTTGCATTAATTCCTCTTGAATTTTGAGCCTGCTTTCCATAGAAACAATCTGATGTAACCTAGTTATGGTCCCCAGTCAGGCTATCGAAAAATGCCTAATTAGTACTACACAAAATATACCTAAAGTTTTAAAAGTATTGGCCTGAGTTCTGGATCTGAAAAACAGGGATGATAGCAGAGAAAAGAATAAACAAAGAGACAAAAGTATCTTGCTCCTCATCATACTTCCCATCATAGCCAGATTACGAAAGAGGAGACTCAGTGCTCTCAAGTTACCCTTGCCCTTCCTACAATAATCTACCCAGATATAGTCTTCAAGAATAAGCCACGCTATAAAAGTATCTACTGCTCAATTTCCTCGATCATAACTTTCTTACTTGTTTCTAGAAGATGTTAAGAAGAAAGCCATATGATTTAAATAATTCACACTAACGTGTAAATGACTGATTTGTCCATTCATTTATAGATACAATACATTCACATACACATCCAAACACATGGGCACATGTAATTGCATTACTTATGTGTTAGCTAGGCATTTTTTTAGAAGCCAAATATATGAGAGAGAATGAAACATTGAAAGGGCAAGGTTTTTGCTCCCATAAAGCCTACGTTTCAGTGGGGAGAGGCAGACAACAACATTCAAAAATAAATCCAGGAAGTAATAAAGACCCTACAGAAAATAGCGTGATAGAACACAAAAGAATTGGTTGAGCCACTTTGCATTGTGTGGTTAGGAAAGGTCTCTTTGAGGAAGTGACATTTAAGATGAACTATAATTGAAGACAAAGAACCAGTCTTGGGTGAATGAAGGGGAAGAGCATTTTAGACGGCTAGTGCAACCTTGAGAAAGGAATGAACTTGGTGTGTGGAAGACAATAAAAAGGCCAGTGGGGCTGAAGAACAAGGAAGAAAACAGAATGGAAAGACAGGCAAGGGCCAAGTCACACAGGCCTTTGTAAACCGGGGGGATACTTTTGAAGTTTATCATAAGTGAAGTAGGAAGCCCTTGGAAGATGGTAAGCAGAAATGGGGTCTGATTTACATCTTATAACAATCCCTCGAAGAAGCATGGAGACAGGAAGCTCTTGCAGGAGTCGCAGAGAATGGCGTGCCTGGACTTGGCTGTCGAGAACTAAGTGGGTCCCATCATGATCTACCTTCGTGGTGAGATCTGAAGGACCTAGGGGATGGCTTGGCTGTGGGCATGAGGAAAAAGGAATCAAGGACACTGGGTAGATGATGATACTGTTTTCCTGAACAAAGATAAGATCTGGAAGGAGTAGGTAGGTTTGGTTGAAGGATAAGGTAGTAGGGCTGTGGAAATAAAGCTCTTCTACTCTGGACACTGTGATCTGGAGCCTCAAATTCCACATCCAGCATCAATATAGGGAGGGCAGTTGGCACATGAATCTAGAACTCCAGAAAGTGGAGACTTGAGACACACATTTGGTAATCATTGGCATGTTGGTGGCATTTAAGCCATGGAGACTGGTGTGATGGGCCAGGGAGTGAGCCCAGGTGGGGAAGACAGGAGGGCGGGAGACTAGGCTCTGCTTATTCCAACATTTAGAAGTGGAAGGAGGCTTTTCAGGAAGCCCCTCTTCTCCGGAGAAGTAGCTCTCCAAAAGGTGATTCAAGAAAAGAAGGCCCTTGCTCTGCTAACAGGGGTGAGTCTTTAAGGTCATCTCGGCATAGCTAAGGCTGAGGGGGAGTGAAGACCCTCAGAGGTCCTCCTCTGCCAGTAGGTTAGAATGAGCATTTGATACTGGTGGTATAAGGAAGAAGCTCTTTTCCCCATAGATTTTGAAAAATACGATAACAATATGATAAAAATTTTAAATGAGCTATTTAAGATATTTAATCCTGCCTTAACGCGGGCCATCACAAGCTGAGAATTCAAGGGTCTCACCTGCCAAGAGGCAGCACAACATCAAACACTAGCCGGGAGCTCTTCTACTTTAGGAAAAGTGTCAAGACATCAGCCTAGAGAAAAAGCTGCGTCAGAGGACCAAGGCCGATGAATAGTAAGCTTTCAGTGGAAAAATTTAAAAAAAAACTAGTCTCCTCTATTCTTCTACCTGTAGCAACTGGGCTTCGTCATCTGGGAACAGTAGCATCATTTTTCCCCCCCCGAGGAATCAGAAGCTATAATAAGGCACTTCTCTGAATCATCAGGGTTGAAGAATCAAGTCAGAAATACTATGTTTGTTCAGCATCTCGTTCAATTTGCACAGCTTTTTTGGCGGGGGGATGTCTGTTTATATAAATATGATTATGAGATTACCTGTGAACACATTGTGTGGGGAGCAAGCTGCACAGCTAATATTGCAGCAAATTACAGGGATTCTCCTGATACCAGAGCAAAGAAATCTGTTTCCCGATGGGAAGAATTTTTGGCGGTGAAGAGAAACCATTTTGACAGCTAATGATTCTCTTGGATTCTCCCGAGCAGGCTTTCTTACCTCTTGATGCCCCTACCTGGGTTCTGAGCCAGTTTTAAGTGGCAAGTCAATGGACTCCTCCAAACACTGAGGCTTAGTGTCATCCACATTTCACATTAACAGAAATGGTATGGCTTAATGATACGGTATGGCTGCCACACTTTTCAAAAGAGTTTAAAACCAGAGAGTCACACAGCCACTTTGGAAGACTGGTATATAGGAAAAGGAGCCAGTTTTGAGGTATTGAAATGAGAAGGTGGGAGATTTTTTAAAATACATATTTTTAGGAATAAGGATTTGACTTAGTAAAATCATTGCTTTTGATCCATTCGAAACAAGAGATGCATTGGGTAGGCCCACCTGCTGACTTTGCAGTGAGAGAAGCTGATTTTGAGTAACACTGATGGGAGACCTAAGTTTTGCTTCCATTATCCTAATTTGTGCATATTCTCCTCAAGGGTTAAAGCCAGGGCCAGCGGTGTGTGCTAACCTGAGCACCAGCCTTAGAGAGAGTAGATCCCAGAACAGTTTCCTATAGTAACGTGAGATAGAGCAATGGATAGCTATGATGTTTAGATCCTTTTGGTATACATGTTCTCTAAACAAAACAACTCAATATGAATATTTTAAGGTTTTCCCCTGCTTGCTAAATTTCTGGTTATTTGGGGGAAAATAAAGATCAAAATTGGAACTTCTAGACACGGCTGGGGCTGAGAGGGAGTCTGCTCCTCTCTGAGGATCAGCAGTCAGCTGGAAGACTTGGCATAGTCCTGCTCACTAAGGCATGAGTGAGAGTACCCTCTAAATCCTCTGGCGCCTCCGTCACCTGAACATTTGGGAGTTCATCAGGACTCCCAAATGATCCATCAGTTGGATAGTACCATGTGTCATACAGCTCACCAGTATAAATCTAGACCGTTTATTCCTGGTTACTCAAGGATAAACTGTCCAAATATACTGTCAGATCATCCTCAGCTATTCATAAATAACTAATAACAAAAACTGCTGTTTTAATCAAATTCCTTCCATGTTTCAAATGTTTTACTAGATGCATAATTTATAGGTATTTTCTCCAGTCCTTCCCACAATTCTGCAAGTTAAATAGGACCACCCCTATTTTGCAAAAAAGGCTCAGAGACTTATCCCCAGTCACTGAGATGATGAATGTTGGTGTGGAGAACAATAACTAGTGACTTCCAGTGAGGAGATATATACATGATTTAACCCGCACTTGTTTGTGGACTCAAAACCCAAAGCCAGGGTTAGCTGTTTATCTGCCAAGAAGTAACTAGTGCTGGGGCCTGGATCCTGAACTTCAGTTGCAAGAGGCTCTGGTGGGCACCAGAATCACCTGTGAACTGAAAACACACACGTCTGGGCCTTTCTTCCAGATCTTCTGATTGCACAGGTTGATGGTGGGTTCAGGGTATTTGCAATTTTTAAACAAGCCCCCAGGTAATTTTGATGCTCACCGAAGTTTGAAAATTACTGCTGTCAATGCCATGTTTGGGAGGAGGATTTCTTAGACGTCAGAGCAAATATAATGAGCTACAGTTGCAGGTGGGAAGAAAAATTAGGCTCATAAGGTATGTACTAAGGGACAAAACATGGAGCTGGCCTGCTCGCTTTGGCCAGAATTACTTTTTCCCTGTCCTGATCAATATCTACTTTTTTTTTTTTTTTTGTAAATTTACTCCCATTAACATTTGGGTCCAGAGAATAGTGTATCAGGTTTTCAGTAGGTATTTATCTCAGGTACCCAACCATACAGTTCCATGGAAATTATCCAAACGTTAGTGAATATCTAAAAGACAAATTTTGTGCTTGAAGATGATTCTGTAATTTTGTATTTTTGAAAGCACTAATTGTAACAGGAAGTTGATCTATGGATCTATCCATCAAACCAGCGTGCGCTCTCCACACAGGCCAGGCAGTCCCTCTGGGAATGCTTTCCTGTCATCATGATGATACTGGCCAGTGTTCTAACCTTGAAAAATGCCATGACAGTCTTCTGGCAGTGACATTATTTATATCTCTGGGCTCTTGTCTTTCACAGGCCTGGTTTGTTATCACAGTCCTTGAAACTGTGAGAAAGAAAAGGTCAGGAAGGCAAATGGGCTTCCACATCTAGGGGAAATCATATGTGAATACAGTCTTTACCTGGTACCGAAGTTCCAAGTGCAACGAACACTACCGCAGTGACAGAATCTTTCAGGCCAATGGTGCATCCGAAGTGGGAAGCCAGGTCTCCAATGAAAGCTGTCAGTAGGCCGATCATGAGGATGGAGACAATGAAACAGGCCCAGCCATTCCAGTATTCTGTAGGGGGGACGAAGGCGAAGAGGACTTTCCAGAACACAGTCAGGAAATGCATCACGTAATCGAAACAGGAGGGTAGCTTCTCCTCCCCACATTCATCGTCGTCGTCATCTTCCCCTGGAGAGAGGAATGAAGCACATTTCATCACAACCTGCACTAATTGGGGTCTTCCTCTCTCCACCTGCCTCCTTCCTAGGCCTGTCTGAGCAACCAGGAGGTCATTGGAGGTGACTGAAGCTGAGGGTTTTCTCAGAGTCGATTATAATTAATTAGTTACCAGACTACTGACATACCCCCCTCACTGTGGTTCACTGGTCACTGGCAAATACTTATGCCCCCACCTAGTTCTGGTTACATGCTATCAACACACGCTTTCTACTGTCCTATCACCTTCAGAGAAATGAAAAGGATTTCTTTCAAAAGACTGGGAAGCCCTGTGCCGGGCTCAGAGAGAAGCTTCTTTTGATGAAGGGTAACTATGACAGAACTCTATTGCCAAGGCTCTTTTCTTCCAGCTTGGGGGCTGGCTCCAGAGATCTGTGGTGAAATAATGACTACGGGACAGTGTTCAGGGCCCTCAATCACAGTGCTGATTTCTTCAGCTTCATCTCTTGCAATAAAACTTGGAACTCAAACTTCATCGTAGCCAAATGGGATTTTCTGCATTTGTTTTCAAACCATACGTACTGTCTCCAGCTTTTGTCCTTTAGAACTACATGTGTTTGGCATGTCCTGATCCCTCCCTCCCTCTCCTTTCCCACTCGCCCTTTAAAACTCACTTCCTTTGTGAAACGTCTGATGGCCCCCCATTGCCCTCCAGCCAGTGCTTCCATAGCCCCCTGATACTTGCGACACTAGATCCGTGGTTCTCAAACTGTGGTCCCTCGGCCAGCAAAATCGCCATCACCAGAGAACTTGTTAGAAAGGCAAATTCCTGGCCTCACGAAATCAGAAACTAGAGGACTGGGGGTGGAATGGAAGGGGGTGGCACAGGTGATTATGATGCACACTCAAGAACCTTTCTCTGTGCAGACTATCCATTTGCTTTCTTTTTTGATGGACTGTGAGCCCGTTGAGGGCAGGAGTTTATTCATTTTTGTGTCCCTAGTGTTTGGTCCCATCTCCAGCATGTGGGATAAGGTGGCTAAGTGCTTGTTAAATGAAATAATGCATGTACAAATGTCCACTGACTTTATGTAACTACTTAATTGCATAATACGTACACATACGGCACAATTCTGCCAGTTACATCCTACAATCAATACATAAATACACCACACTTATTATTTAAAGGAACCAGGAAATCAATAAAAGCATTCTAAAACAGACTTCATTTGTAATGGGATACAGCCCCCATTCACCTATTTTAAGACTGGGACATTGGGGCGCCTGGGTGGCTTAGTTGGTTAAGCGTCCGACTTTCGCTTAGGTCATGATCTCACGTTTCGTGGGTTCGAGCCCCGCGTCGGGCTCTGTGCTGACTGCCAGCTCAGAGCCTGGAGCCTGTTTCAGTCTGTGACTCCCTCTCTCTCTGACCCTCCCCTGCTCACGCTGTCTCTCTCTCTCTCTCCTAGAAATAAATAAAACATTAAAAAAATTTAAAAAAAAAAAAGACTGGGACACTGAAGGTCAACTCTTCTTGAAGTGGTGGCCAATATAATTTCACGTGGGAAGAACTCCTTGAAGACTTTCTTCACTCCCAACCCCCACACATCTTGTCATCAAAGATCCTCCTTTCCTTTGGCCATCTAATGCCACTGGCAGCAGCAAGTGAGTCTGTCAGACTTTCCAGCTGACTGTATGACCTGAGATACCAGGATGGACAAATGCATGTGCTCTCCGTGAGGCACTCCAGTGGTGAAGCCATCTGGTGCAGATCGTTCCTGGGAAAATCCTTAAAGCAGAGGAGCTTTGAGGGAAAAGTGTGTCTCACAAAATGCGAGAAGAAAAAAAGTCTCTGTTTGTCACCTGTTCTCTCACAGAAGAGAGACGAGGCAATGGCTTGCTCTCTCTTCAGTGAGCACATGGTCAGCATCATCATGCAAACAAACTTGGGGGACCTGTGGAGAAAACAGACTCCCCTTGGAGGCTTTGGACCATCACCAACAAAGTGTTGGCAGGAAGCCTCCAGCAGATGAATGGAATCACCTTTGGAGACTAAGTAGGTAGGGAATTCAAGTCAACCAGCTGGTTGTAAAATGTGTGACTGACTAGAGTAAGATAGCATTGTTACCATGTTAAAGTCACTGAAGGAGGCCCAAAGGGCAGTTCAAATGCTTTGGTAATCTATGTAATCCAATCAGAACCTAAACCAGATCAATTTCGATAAATACAGTCGTGTCTGAGAAAACAAAAATTTATTTATTTTATGTTTTATGTATTATTGAGACAGAGAGAAAAAGAGCACGAGCAGGGGAGGGGCAGAGAGAGAGGGAGACCCAGAATCTGCAGCAGGCTCCAGGCTCTGAGCTGTCAGCACAGACCCCGACGGGGGGCTCGAACTCACGAACTGTGAGATCATGACTTGAGCCGAAGTCCAATGCTTAACTGACTGAGCCATCCAGGCACCCCGAAAACAAAATTTTAGAGCAACCAATCACAAGCCTCCACCTAGCTGTTACCAAATAAGGCAACCACTTCAGCTATGGCCAATCAAATAATTTCCTTGCTTTGCTTCCACCTCTGCTCTATAAAGGCCTTTCCCCTAGCTCCTGTTGGCAGAGTGCCCCTAAACCACTTTGGGTTGGCTTTGCCTGATTTGAATACATATATGCTCAAACTCTTGAAAGTTTTAATGTGCCTCAGTTTATCTTTTAACACCCATCTCCTTCAGTGTTATGTTGTACACTTATTGCATATATCTTGCACTTTTTTTCAGTATCTTGCCTGAAAGCCGGAGATGATTTTAAATAAAAGCACTTGTTATGGGCTGAATTATCTCCCCCAGATTCTTATGGTGAAGCCCTAAGCTCAGAATGTGACTATATTTGGAAATAGGGCCTTTAAGAGATGACTAAGTTAAAATGAGGCTGTTCGGGTGCCCTCATCTAATCTGATCAGACTGGTATCCTTATAAGAAGAGGATGTTGGGACACACACCAGGGATGCGTGTGTATAAAGGCAGGACCGTGTGAAGTCACAGCAAGAAGGCAGCCCTTCTCCCCAGTCAAGGAGAGAAGCCCCAGGAGAAGGCAAACCTGCCAACACTTTGGTCTTGGACATTTATCTTCCAGAACTGTGAGAAAGAAAAATCTGTTGTTTAAGTTCCCCAGGCTGTGGTCTTTTGTTACAGCAGCCCTGGCAAACTAATACAGTCCCTCCAGAACCCTCCTGGGTCATGATGTTGATATTCAAGCATAACCACTCAGTGTTTCTACTACCCATTCCTTTCTTATTTGCTTATCCATTTCTTCTTTTTTCCTCTAACCTTTCTTCCCATTTCTCTTTCACCCTATCCTTTGGGTCCAGGAAGAACTCACTGTGAGAGCAGCCATTGTTAGAGCTTATTGGAGAGAAAGAGGAAGAAGAGAACCCTGTTAATTCCTCGACTCCTCTTCTCCCTAACTCCCCATCCCAAAGATGGGATAGTCGCAAAAATACCCCCCATGGAAGCTCAGGAAAAGCTCTAGACTTTTGGTTATATTTATTTTGTGTATGATCTTTGTAAGCTAATATATTCTATATTTTTGGACATTTTGTAATTTCATAGGATATATGATTAAAGCAGCTTGGAAAACATGGATTTTAATTTTAAAAATGTTATTCTGCCTCTAATTCTATAAAATTACTTAATTTGAGGTGTCTAAGACTCATTGTGAAGAATAAGAAAGCAAATAGTGAAGCTTCTCCGAAGAAATGACACGTATAAATTGAGAGTAGACATTATATTTGCCTTCAGGATGGGATAATAACACCTTTCCCATGAGGGATGTGCAGGGGAATAATTAGATCATCTCTTCAAAGTGAGAATATTTCAAGATAATGATTATCATGGTAGTTCTCATTATTTTCCTGCACTTGGGATTGTACTGTGTTTCCCTGTCATTATTTAATTGATTAGCCAACATGTTAGGTCCTAAGGTTACTTTCTAGGCTTTTAGAAACAAAATTTAATCTTGCCCTCTGGAATGATCTTCATGATCTATAAGTGTGCAATGCAAAATAAGTGTGTGTGTATGAGAGAGATAGAGAGGGCAGAGAAGTTTCCTTCTGTAGGCTTCCAGCATTACAAGGTATCTGTAATAAATATATGAAAAGAAAGAGAGTGTGAATAAGGAGCAGAGAGAGAGAAAGAGTCCCAAATAGGCTCTGCACTGTGAATGCAGAGCCCAGTGCAGGGCTTGAACCCATAACTATGAGATCATGACCTGAACCGAAGTCAGACGCTTAACTGACTGAGCCACCCAGGCACCCTTGTGTCTGAAATATTTTAACACGTAAGTCTGGAATGGGAGGGCCCATCTGTTTTATTGCATTTCAAAGTAGAAGTGCCTTCCCATCTTTTTTCCTAGGATCACACTGCTCTTTATAAATTTTAATCTCCAACTCAGATGCCATTTAAATCTTAAAAATGACCACTGACTGCCATGTATGATTCACAAGGAAAGAGAAGGAAAAAGAAATGATGTTTCTCCATCACCCTCAGGACTAAAACTTTTGTCCCTGCAAAGAGCAGGGGAACATTAAAAATCAAAACCAAAAAACACCTGGCGCATCCTTTCTGTGACGGCAAACACGATAGTAATGTGCCAGTTCCGTATGTTTGCCAGCTTAGGCTTACCGGAGGCTACATACTTCTTTCCGATCCCTCCTCTGCATTAACAAAGAAACAGGCAGTTTGGTGGGTTTCCTTTTATAGGATCCCAGGCAATGGATCTTCTTATGTTAGAATCCTCCTTTGCAGCTTTATGGATTCCACTCATGGAAAGATAAGCTATATTCGACTAATCCTTCCCATGGCCCTTCAAATGGTTTCCTTGAGACCTGTTGGACTTCCTAAATATAACTACAAAAAGAGCCGCATCATTAAAACCACAGAGGAGAGAGCATCACTTCAGCTACTGACATAACAGAACTTGCACTGACTCTGCTCTGGGACATGAACACAAAGGCAGCAT